GCGCGGCTTGTATGGATTCAGCGACTTATGTAGCACGGGCTCATCTGACGCCTCCTCGGACTCTGTTTCCTTGATCTTTTCTGAATGAGTCTCCCGATCCTCGGGCTCGGGCATCTGCACTTTGTTGTCCACCTCCTTCCCGCTCCTGAGCACAGTGATAGCTTTAGCTTGCTCGGGCTGACTAGGCAACTTCCCTTTGTTCATCTCTGTCTCAATGGTCCCGACCCTAGCGGCCAGTTGGCCAAACTGTGTCTCTATGCGCTTGATGGAGGCATCCTGATTGACATCCCTCTGCTCACGGTTAGCCATAAGCTGAAGGATTTTGTCAACATCGTCTTGGAGGTTCGAACTCTACCCCGCTTCCGGTCCCCTCTGCTGTTGTTGTGGCTGTTGTGGCTGGTAGTTTGGCCGGGGCACAAAGTTGGGTCGAGGTTGTTGCTGCATGAAGTTTGGACGGGGTGGCTGAAGGGTGTTCGAGTTGTTTGACCACGAGAAATGTGGGTGGTTCCGCCATCCAGGATTGAACGTGTTTGAATATGAGTCATTGCCTGGCCGATTCTGGTATCCTTGTAAAGCACTGGCATTCGCATACTTCTCACCGGAGTCCTGCTCGAAAGATGAGGGGCATACTTTGGACCTATGCCCTGGAACCCCACATAATCCACATGTGTCAACGGCAAATATGTTGACCGGCTCAGATCCTCGTGCTGTAAGCAACCTCATCTGCTCAGTAAGCTCAGCTAGCTGTTGGGCCACCATATCATTGCTTGTACCGACTCGTTCACTACTGCTCTCTTGCCTCGAGTGCTATTCTGCGATGAGTTCGTACTCATCGTCTCAAAAATCTCAAACATCTCCTCGGCTGTCCTTGCTCCGATATCACCTCCTGCCGCGTTGTCGACCATATACTGCAAGTTCTGGTGGAGGAAATCATAGAAGCAGTTCATGAGTAGCCCCAGAGAGAGGTTGTGATGGGGGCACTGCCGTTGGAGATCCTTGAACCGCTCCCAAGCCTCATGAAGAGACTCATTCGGTAATTGAGCAAACGAGACGATCTGTGACCGGAGCTCCTGAGACTTCTGATGGGAGTAATACCTCCCAATGAACTTTGACTCCACCTCGGTCCATGTAGTGAGAGAGCCAAGTGCAAGTGTCATGAACCAGGCCTTGGCCCGGTCCTTCAGAATCTCGGGAAAGCACCTCAGCTTCAACTGCTCGTCATTAAGGTCATTGAGAGGGAAAGTGTTGAGGACATTGTAAATTCCCGGATGAAGTTGAGTGGATCCTAGCTTGGAAGCCCATGGAATGCCGGCAACTGATTGTAGTGAGTCATTTTGAGCTCGTAGTTTCGTGCAGCCTCTGGCAAACGAATGCATGAAGTGACTGGCCCGATAACTGGCTGGGCCAAGGTTCGGAGGGTGTTA